TTTTTTCTGGCTTATTACATCTTTTAATTCTATATATGGGGGACTTATGGTACAGTAATTTTTGCTGCCGCACTTTCATTAACATACTGATCTTTGGATTCCAAATAAGCTCACCTGCATTTTCCACCACTCATCGTTTCTTTTTTAGTTTGTTTTATTTATTTTGTTTTGCTTTGTTTTTGGTGGCACCAGGGATCAAATTCAGGACCTTGAGCTTGTGAGGCAAGCACTTATTCCACTAAGCTCTCTCCCTGGCCCTTTTATTTTTTATTTGAATCTCTAGTGAATTTGCACTATATTTTAGTACAGAGATGAAATAAAAACTTAATTCTACTGTCTCCCCAAATATCCTAAATGTCAAGTATTCTTTAAAAAAATAAAATAAACAAAAAAGAAAAGATTTTTAAATGTTTTGTCTTTTTCTTTTCTTCTTCTTTTTTTTTTAGTGTATTTGATACCGGGTCTCATCGTGCAGCTCAGCCTCACAATGATCCTCCTGTTCTCAGCCTCCCCAGTGCTATGATCAAAGGTGTGCACCACCGCGGCCAGCTCACTGCACCCAGGGGCTGGGCCAGCGCTGCGTATGATGCTGGGATCCAGTCCCGGTCCCTGCAAGCTCTTCGTCCGCTGAGCTATTTCACCTGCCCACAAGTTAAAATTTTAAAAATAAAATATATTTATTGTAAAACACTTAGACAATAAGAAAAAAAATGATAACAGGTAAAATAAGATTACCGTGTTCTAATAAGCTGCCTAATGAGCACTCCAGTTCCCTATATGAACTTACTGTTCTCCTTACTTTTTAGTACATGTTTGAAAGCTTTTATGAAGTTTAGAAAGTAAATGCAGACACGTACAAATACAAAAATTCAAACTGAAGGCACTGACACACAATGATTTTAATATACGTTTCTAGATTTTTAAATGTTCTATACTTTGAAAGAAACTTTTTTTTTTTTTTTTTTTTTGGTATTTTAGGGAAGGATCTACAGGGTGTTCAGGGTCTCACTACTAGATCAGACTTGTAGTGCTCAGCCTGTTTACAGCCTCCCAAGTGCTGGGATTGCAGGTACGTGCCACCATGCCCAATCTCAATTGCCATCTCCGCACGCCCTGGGGCGGGCCGGCACAGCAGACCCAGGGCAGCCCCTGAGCCTGTTTGCAGGTACTTTAATCCATTGAGCTGTTTGGCTGGCCCAGAAACTTTAATTAAAATGAGATGCCTTTATTTATGAAGTTTTGTAATGTGTACATTATATGCAACTTTTTCAGCTAGTGTGTCTACACATTTGTGGTGGTGAATAGCATTATGACAACCCAGACCACAAACAACTGTTTCCTGCCCATTGAAGTAAACTCAAGCTGTCATTTTAGTACTGCAGAACCCTGTCTGCCTACTCACAGCTTATTGGATAAGATTATCTAGATTGCGTTCTCTTCACTGGGAATTTGAAAATGGGTCTGGTCTCTCAAAGAAAGTAAAATCACAAGCTAGGGAGTAACCATCCCCATTTTCCACGTGGTGGGGAAGCAGGCAGGCTCAGGCTCTAGAGCACTGCAAACACAGAGAAGCTGCAGACTGACAGCTCCTGTGCTCAGGCTCCTGGATCTGAGACTCCTGAAGCAAACCTGCACTGTCCCCTTGGATGCTGAGACCTCTCTATAAAAGCTCTCACATGGTAAAGCTACACGGAAGGAAGCTCCAGTGCTAGCTACAAGCCCTCAGGGCCCATGCCTAACTATAATTTTTTCCTTCTTCCCTTCCTTTTCTCCCACCCTTCCTTTTGTGTGTAAGTGCTAGGGATTAAATCCAGGACTTGTCACACACTAAGCATGAGCTCTACCACCTAGCAAGCTCCGCATCCCTAGATATAATTATTTAACACATCCCATGGCTTGCGAAACTATCGTGTTCACACATTTTAACCTTGTGATTTGTTTCTTATTTGAAATAAGTAATGCTGTTTCCTCCCCAAACTAGAGTCTGTTACTCCGTAAAGAATAACAATGGTGGGGCCGGCAAGATGGCTCAGTGGACTAAGCGCTTCCCTGGCAAGCATAAGGGCCTGAGTTCAATCGGCAGTTCCACAAAAAAAAAAAAAAAAAAAAAAAAAAAAAAAAAAAGAATAACAGTGGGAGGGCCAAGGAGATAGCTCAGTAGCTTAAGCGCCTGTCTGGCAAGTACAAAGTCCTGAATTCAATCCCCAGTACAAAAAAATAAAATAAAATAACAGTGGGAAATTCAATCAGGCTGGCTGGCTGATCTTTACTTCAATTTTCGTTCATTCGTAAGGAAAATAGCTATGTGATGGAATGTTTGCTAAATAGCCAGGCAAGGCACTTACATGCATAGAATTTACAGCCCATCGTAACAAGAAAATCAATCCACAAAAGAAAATGAGCCAGAAGAATACACACAGACTGAGCTGACACACACACAGAAAGCCTCAAGGAGGCTGCGAGCTGGACATGAAGGGGTCTGTAAGTGAGATATTCAGAGCAAAAGCACTCTAGACAGAAACAACAGCTATAGTCTGTGTCCTGAGGTGAAGAATTGGCACAACCAATAACAGAAAGGCATGTGTGCTGGTTAGGTCTGTGATCTGAGGGAGAGCGGTATGACATAAACAGTGGTACATTTATACACGTGAGCCACTAATTGGGGATATATTTCAAACCACCTTGCAGACATAACTATACCTTTGTATAGCCATCACTATTGCAGTTGTTTGCATCATTCTAGGCTTACCTACACTATGAGAGAACTTTACTGTGATTTGCTTTCTATTTGAAATATCAGATTTCTGTTAAATAACTTGAAGAATATTGCATTAGAATAACATGTAGTTTGTTTCTCTCTCTCTCTCTCTCTCTCTCTCTCTCTCTCTCTCTCTCTCTCTCTGTAGCAGTACTGGGAATTGAACTCAAGACCTTGCACACTCTCCAGGCAGGCACTTATTCTAGGGCCTAACATGTACTTCTGAATGGGTTACTTCATGTCTAGCCAATTACTCTTAAGTGCAATTGATGTCTTTAGTTTACCTTCATTAGGGCCTAAACTGTGACTAATACTTGCTACATACGAAGCATGCCAAATTTCTAGTAGAAATGTATATTTCAAAAAAAAACCATAAATTTGGAATTTCTTACAATTCTTCCACAAAACATCAACTCCATTATATTCAGTATTTAATAATGACTGCTTGGTGATTATTCCTAATTATGTCCTCTAAAGATGAATTTGTTGAGGGCCAGCCTGATAGCTCAGTGGACTAAAGCACCTGATCAGGCAAAGCACAGCAGCCGATTTTCGAACCCCAGCATGCCATGCCGGCCCCATGCCGGCCCTGCCCCCAGGGCGCGCTGAGAGGGCGATTGAGCCTGGGCGTGGTGGTTCACGCCTGTAATCCCAGCACTTGGGAGGCTGAAAACAGAAGAATCACTACAAGTCTGATCTATGTCATGAAACCCTGAACACCCTGTAGACCCTGCCCTAAGTACAGAAATAATTAATTAATTAATTAATTAATTTAAAAAGGTGAATTTGTTATCATTGGGGACAAATAAAGCCAGTGTCCAATAGAGAAGTTAATACAGAGACAGCTCCAAGACACATAGATGAATGAGTACAATGCTAATAATTTCTGAAAGTAGAATTATGGACTTAAGTGATCCTTAAAAATTGGTATTTTCTATTAAAAATAACTGCCTTGAGGTATTGAAGTGAATATTAAAACTTTAAAATGATGGTATAAATAAATGTAAGCTGAATTAACAAGTGAACAAAGAATAGCTACATCTTAATTCCTAAATGCCTAAGTTTTCAATATTAACCTTAAAAATCACAGAACTGTCTAGAGACAACTATATATCAAATAACTATTAACTTAAAGAATAGTCACACTATGCATGGAACACTCTGTATGCCGCAGCTCCGCTCTACCTCTGACCTACATCCTTGCTCAGCATGTGGTCGGCTCGTGCCCCAGCTGTGATGGAGGGTCAAGGACTACACGTCTATCATCAGTATGTGTTTGTCAAATTTCTCAACTGAATAAACATCTCCTACTGTTTGATCCTAACATAAAAGTTAGAAGTCTGACTTATCTCAGATCCTAGTGGTAGGCTATTAATGATTAAGAGAGATGATGTACTGGCTCCTACCTGCAGAGGAGCTATTCAGGAGGGAGACACTTAGAAAGAGACATTAACTCTTCAGGTAGAAAATAACAGGTCATACACTTAATCTCTAAATTAATTTTATTGGGTAAAGTAACTCAGAAACCACTAATTAAGGGATCCCTGTTACAACAAAAGGTTCTCAGAAAAGCAAAAAGAAGTATTAAATACTATTTTACTGAAACAATCTCTTTTAGTTCAAAGTACATTATTATTATGTCTTGAAACAAATGTAACTTGTCATTTTAAATGGGCATCACGCGATGTCTAACACTTTTAAAACAACTGGAACAAAAATGTGGCATATGGGCTCTTCATAGTGAATTCAAGTCCAGCCTCAACTACATAGCAAGAGCCTGTCTCCAAAATAAAATAAAATAAAATTCAAAAAGTGGAACACAGTAATTTATCAAAAAGTAACTGTAACTTGAAACCATTAATGTAACTCCCCTAACACCTGCTTTCTAACCAGGAAGAACTTTATTTATCATAGTACTGGCTAAAAAAATGTTGAAGAAGCTTCTCCAGAATTAAATTCTTAAAGAATATTATTTGAAGGAGGTAAGATCTTAACTAAAAAAGATTAAGTAATACACCTGGGAATAAAAATAAGCCTTTATTTTGACACCGTTAATTACAGAGGACTTTTCGATAACTAAATTGCTGCAAGGGGTACATAACAGGAATGTACAGCATATCCCATCTTGATCACTTCTATTTTAAGTGTTATCTCCCTTCAGATTCTCTTCATCTTCAGCTCATCAACATTAATCATTTATCAAAATATAAACAGGCTAAATGATTTTTTTGGGTGTATTTACCTTTTTTCCTTTGAAGCTGAGCGCACCAGGTTGCTCCAGGACCCCATAACACAAGCACATAATGTTGGCCTTGTGCCTGTTCCACTGTTACCACAACTTTCCTTTGCTTCTGTCCTCTGTAATTGTACAATGCCTCTAGGAAAAGGAAAGAGGAATCTTAGTTGATATTACTCTATCACAGGTGACTCCATCCTTAATAACTCATAATAAATAGGTAATGATAATTAAATGATATGTTAAGATGGTCTTATGTCTTAATTTTTTATGATCTGAAATCAAAGAAGCACTCCAGGTGTTTACCTGTCAGTACAAGGACTTCCACAACTCTCAGCACAGCATGGACTAGCATATCAGTCTGTAGCTGCTCCAGTTCTACAAACTCTATCTTGCTCACTCTCTGAGGCCACCTCTGAGGAAGGCCTTTGAGATAGGAATGTTTTGAAGACACGTATGCCAGTAGGTCCCGAAGCACAACAGTGCTAACTACGCTGGAATCTAAAGAAGAAAAAGACATACCAATGTGGACAAAGAATGGTAACACTGCGTTTTCTTCACAGTGCATATTTTTTAAAACTGCATTTTATATTGTAAAATGTGATTAGAAATAAAATAGTATTTTACTTCTACAAAATGTAGTTTATTCTGGAATGTGTTTAGAAATAAAAAAGGGCTGATGTTTTTAAATGATGGAAACTGAACAATTTATTATCTCATTTACCAGCTCCAAAAAAATTATTTCATTACCTTATTTCTGTTTGTTTAATACATTTCAATACTAATTAACCAATATGTTCCTATTCCCCCAGCATCCTGATGACATCCTGTTAGCTCACTAGTCCTGGGAATCCCTAGGACGCTGTCTTCCCCAGCTCTCCTGACCACTGCCATTCTTCTGCAAGCTCACAGGTACCCCACTTCTGAGACACTGTACAGGCCACGCTGCCCCAGTGGCTCTCTGGCTAAGCATGCTCTATTCTTTTCCACTACTGGGCTGCTGCTGCTAACATCTGTGTGAACACATACTTCTCTGGGCTTCATTTTTCATGTACAGTGTGGTGTTTTAGGGGAAAAAATGATCCTTGATACCAAATTATATATCTGTCTCTGTTTTATAAATATTTACATAAAATCATGGTTATTCAGACTACAAGGAAATTATGTTAAGGAAACAATGTTAATCTTTGATTTACATATTAATATTATTTAAGATAAATTTATGTTCTATCACAATTACCAGAACTAGGATTATAAAATATGTGACACCTCACCATAGTGAGTAATAAGCTGAAGTCTTTTCCAAAAATACAACATATTGAAAAATCCCAAAATTAAAAGATTGACTGTAGGGACCGGGGAGATGGCTCAGTGGAATGAACGCTTCCCTCAAGTGCAAAGGCCTGAGTTCAATCCCCAGTTCTGCAAAAAAAAATAAAAATAAAAAAAGATTGACTGGTTATAACTGCTCAAAACCACACTGCCTTGATTGCTGTTATAGGTAAGGCCTGATATCTGATACTGCAAGTTAATCCTACATTTTTTAAATGCCGTGGCTTTTTTGGGCCATTTACTCTTCTACACAATTATCAGATAATCTATCAACTTTCAGAAAAATCATTTTGAGATTTTTATTGGCTATGCACTAAATTTATAGATCAACTTGGGAAATGCTCCAATTTTTGTAACATTAAATCTTTCAATTACTGAACAAGGATTTGGATATCCTTTGTTACATTTTCTACTTCATATTTAGTACCATAATAATTTTGTAAATAGTGCCTTCTTTAAGTATTGTTAGTTGTTCTACTCCAGAATTATCTTTTGTATATTAATCTTATATCTAGCCAACATGCTGAACTTCCCCCATCATTTCTAGTAATTTGCTTCTAGTAGAGGGGGAAAGATTGTACATAAAACATCATAACATCTATAAGTAATGACAGTTTTATTTCACCATTTCTAATCTTCATATATCTTTTTTAATGTCCCATCATATTAGTTAATATCCCTAATACAATGTTAAAGGTGGTAATAGTAGTATCTTAGTCTTATGTCTGAATTTTTTTTTTTAATTTTTTAGGGAAGGGTCTACAGGGTGTTCAGGGTCTCACTACTAGATCAGACTGGTAGTGATCCATCTGTTTATAGCCTCCCAAGAGCTGGGATTACAGGCATGCACCACCATGCCCAGTCTCAATTGCCATCTCAGTGCACCCCGGGGGCAGGACCAGCACGACAGGCCCGGGGATTGAACCCCTGGCCCGTGCACCTGCTTGCAGGCACTTTAATCTGCTGAGCTATTTGGCTGGCCCTCTTACATCTGAATTTTAAAAGCAAACTTTCTCATTTTTTTTTTTAATTTGGATGATAACTATTCTGTATTTTTGAAAGACTTTCTTTCTGAATGTAATCATTTTTGGTTTTTTAATATATTTTGTGCAGAGTCTCACTACCCAGGTAGGACTCATAATGATTGTCCTGTTTTCAATCTCCCCAATGCTGGGATTACAGGTGTGTGCCACCATGCCTGACTTCCTACCGGCTCAGCATGCCCAGCGGTGGGACTGGCACAGCATGTGGTTCCAGTAACCCAACCTTGATCCCTGTGTTTACCTAAGCAGGTGCTTAGTCCACTGAGCTATCTCACTGGACTGAAAGACTCGCTTTATGAAACTATGAGAAATTTCTTTTTATTTTTGATGAATAGGCAATGAATTTCATCAAAAGCTTTTTTCTGCCTGTTGGCATAATCACACATGCCTTTTAATTTTTTTGTTTGTTTGTTTGCTTGAAGCTACTGTGAGACTTACAAAAATAGTAAGAGTCCCACATATTCCTCACTCTATAAACTCTAATGTGGACATCATGGATATGGAATAAATATCCTGAATAGAAATTAATAATTACAGAGTTTATGTAAATGTTACCAATTTTCCTGCTTATCTCCTTTTCATTTTTTAGACAGACTCTCACTATGTAGTGCAGGCTGGCCTTGAATTCGC